GTCTGAACCCAGATCCTTCTGCGGCAAATTTGTTAGCATGATGGGGCCTATGACACAAGTGCATGGTTCTGAATCCATTCAGCAGAATGTAGTGAATCACATAGAAATTAACCAATTAAGTGCAGTGATTTTAGTACAGTGATGTGATAACTTGCAGGAATCGCAGGCCTCCTCACGTGGTCCAACCACACCAGCCATTAACAGTCATCAAACATTTTAATAAGACTATTAGTCTGAAAATTCTCTGAGCAAGTGTTTGTGTTTTGTTCTGATTTTTGTCTCCATTTGGGTCCATCAATAGCTGACCATTTAGCTGGGGCTGCCTTGAGTCTGCGTTCATCTTCTCAGACTTATGTCTGTGTAGATCTCAGTTAAATGGTGGACACTTAAATAATTCCCTGATGCTGAGTAAAAGTGGTGAGCAGTGACACACAGTTGTGAAAGGACAACTTTCGCTAATGAAATGTACAGTGGGTTTGAATTTAAGTCCTCTGAGCTAAGATCACATTTTTAAAAGACCTATCAAAATGCTAACAAATATTGTATTTCAATATTTAATTAAATATTTTGGGGAAACCCATTTTCCTATTTATTTTAGACAATAATATAAATTCTTCATTATCTAAAGTTTGGGTTCATTTTAAGGCTACTAATACAACATAGTCATAATCTGATCAATGCTGACCCAGTCTTTTCATGAGTCAGACTAATCTGCTCCATCTTGTGAATATTTCTTTGGTTATTCACTTTCATCACAACCAAGAAACCAAACACTTACTTATGCATTTGGGAATCTATACATCTACTGTGCACCATGTAGTGTTGTGTCACTTCCAGACCTGCAACCTCTTCTTTACTCCAAAACACATGAGCCACTGATTCCAGTGTGGGTGTTCCCAGTCTGATGAGGGAGATGATGACAATTCAGAACGCTGTTTTGGGGTTACCCAGCTGTGAAATATGCTAACTGTAATCCAATCCTGTAGTTCTCGTGTAGACAGACCTCCAAATGGTAGCAGAGGGAAGTCCATCTGTGTAAGGATGACAAGAATCTGTTAGTTTCCAAACTTGGCCAACTGAGAGCTCTGTGATAGTTGATCAACAGTGTTGTAAGGATTGGTTAAAATCCAGTTTTGCTTTCTATTGTTATATATCACTCGCACAGCTCTGCTTTGCTGTTCAGTGAGACCGCTTTGCCATTAGCTCCCGATAGGCATGTAGCATGAAACAATGTAGTAGTGACAGCATGATATACAGGTTGAAATCAGTATTAAAGCTTCCCCCCCCTTTACCCCAAATTGTAGGGAATGAAAGACAGCTCTCAACATTTGCACAGTTAAAGCTGATTTTCTGGGATATTAGACAAGCAAGAAGGACGTAAAATAAAACAGACTATTTCAGGTTCTTCCAATAGCGGGTTAAGGGTCTACATCTGACTGCTATTAAAGATGGGCAAACACGAGAAACTCACCCACGTGGCAGAGACAAGAATTTAATTATGTGTGCTCCTGCAATAGAGAGATCATCCCTGATTTAGTCATATTGCAAATTTTAAAGGTTCAAGGGAAACACCGAGGGATTCAGCAGGACCCATTCAAAACTGGACACCGCTGGCAAGGCCTCTGTGCTTTTTCAACGCACCATTTTTAAGGCTTCAGTTGGCCAGCAAGGGATGCAGTGACCGTGGTAAGGAGTATTCTAATCAGTGACCTCAGAAAACTGCAGAGTTGGGCCCCTTGCCTGGAAACCTTGATATTTTTCTAGTTGAGGGTCATGATGTTGTATTAGCAGGTCCCTCCTCACAAAGTAGGGTGTGAAATGAACACTGTGCCAACACCAGTACATACAATGATGCATCCTTGGAATTAGGAGGGTTACAAGCCATGTAGTTCCATATATAATATTTCCATGTGTGTAAAATCGCATACTTTGTCATATATTTCCCAATGAGTGTTTTCCTTTCTCATCATTTTACCATAAATCCACAGGCTTCTGTTAAAAAACCAGCCTATTTCATTAGCATCCACAAGCCATTAGCATCTGGGTCTGCCTCCTGTAAGAAGTTCCTGGGAAGTTAGATTCCTGGAGTATTTAAGCCCTAGCAGGCTCTGAAATGAGTTGATAGCTTGTGATGTGCACACCTCTACACAAGGAACTAGATTGAGCCCACCATCAGTTGGCATAAATTGGCCGCTATGATGCGTTCGAGCGTTTGACCCCATCCTGCCAAGTCTGCCACTTTTCCTGGCACCCTGCTGGCTTAAGGTTCTTTGGTCAAGCTGTTGCTATGCTTCCTGCACATTGAAATAGCATGAGTTGCCCCCCACCATCCCAACCAGATCATGAACCTGGCTTAAAATTAACATTCTGCAATGTATCTCTGGGGTTTTTTTATTGGCCTCCTGGTTTGAGAGTTGAGGGGTCACTTTTCAAACTTTTCTCCAAGAAATCATGAGGGGCTAGAAACTTTTTAAAGAAAAGTAAGCTGACAAAAGATGGTCCAGTGGTTAGGGGAGGAGCCTACTACCAGTGAGATGGGGGGTTCAAATCCCTGCTGTGCCTGAGTGATACTGGACATGCCACTCAGTCTCTCTCCGTCTCCATTCTGTATCACTGCAATGGGGACAATAGCATGTCCCTCCGTCATGGGGGTATTGTGAGGGCAAAACCATTAAGGACAGAGGCACTCAGATACTACAGCAAGGGACTCACACAAGTAACTTTATGAATCTAATCTAAGGCCAGAAGGAACCATCAGCTCATTTAGTCTGACCTCCTATGTCACAGGTCACTAAATACCGCCAGAATTAGACCAAAGTATTACAGCCCTCAGGGGACTGTGTTACAGGCAGAGAACAGGAAGGACTAACATGCATCAATGCCCCAGGCAGTGGCAGGAAACCAATTTAGTGGGATACCCAAACAAGTGACCCATGCCTCACACGGCAATGGAAGGCAAAAAAATCCCCAGGCCTCTGCGAATCTGACCTGGGGAAAGATTCCTTCCTGATCCCAAATGCAATGATCAGTTAGACCCTGAGCAAGTGAGAAAGACCTACCAAGCCAGCAGACTGAATTCTCAGTTACCACCTGACAGCACTAGCCCACCCTATACATAGTCCCACCTCCAGCTGTAGCTATCTTTTGATGCATCAGAGGACAAACCCACAAACACATTGGATTGGGGGCAGCGGAGAAGAAGTTTTCCTTCTTGACCCTTATAGATGACTGTCTGAAGCCCTGAAGGATGAGATTTTAGGAACATAAGGTGAACTAGGAGGGACACCTTGGCTGCCGAGTCCTGCCCTTCACCACGTGACTCCAGGAGGTGGGGCTTTGAGAAGGATCCCAAATAGGAGACGCATACAACTGAATACTAATGTTAGTCACATTCCAGAGGTTACTGAATAGATTTTAGGGCTAAAAGAGACCATTAGATCAAATCTGACCTCCTGAACCCCACAGCCATTAAGTTTCACCCAATTATCCCTGTACAGACTCAATAACTTATATGTCCTTCCTTCCAGGAGGACACCAGTCTGAACCTGAAGACATCAGGAGGTGGAGAAACCACCACTTCCCTTGGCAGTGTGTTCCAATGGTTAATCATCCTCACAGTTACTTTTTTTGCCTTATTGCTCGTTTGAATGTGTCTACCTTCAGCTCCCAGCCTTTGGTGGTGGTTACATTTCTCTGCGAGATTCTCGAGCCCTTCAGTACCCAGTATTCTCGCCTCACGAAGGGACCTACCAAGCCACCTCTCAGTTCGTACAGTGTACCAGGTAAACAGCTGGAGCTCTTTAAATCTCTTTGCAGGGTGTTTTCTCCCACTCTCCGTTTATTTTTGTGGCTCGTTTCTGCACCCTCTATTTTTTTTCAACCTCTTTCTAAACCATGGCACCCAAACTGGTTGCGTCATTCCAACGTCTGCCGCTAGCATTGTGTACGGAGGTGAAATCGCCTTCCCGCTCACCGGTCCCCTGATTTGATATCCATGGCTTACATCAGCTTCCTGCCACAGCATTACACGGGGAGCTCCCGTTCAGCTGCTTGGCCACTTTGACCCCTAACACCTTTTTGGAGTCACCACGTTCCAACGTACGGTCTCCCAGTCAGTAGGTCTGGCCTGCCCTGATTGTTCCTAGGTGCATAACTTTTACATTTGGCTATATTTATATGCACTTTGTGTGAGCCCAAGTCACTAAGCAAGCCAGATCACTCTGACTACCCTCATTGTTATACACCATGCCACCAGTCTGTCATCCGCAGATTTTATCAGCAGTGACTTTATATTTACTTCCAGATCATAGATAATGGTGAATAACAGCAGGACGAACCCTGCAGAATCCTGCTAGAAACACCACCATTTGGGGATGATTCCTCATTAACTGTGAGATAGGCCAATTAGCCATTTTTAATCCATTGGGATGTGTGCTTCACCAGTTCTACATAGTGCGAATTGTAATGTCTGAGCCTGACTAGAAGGACTTCAGGACAGGAGATGCCTGTCAGCATTTTGCTTGGTACTGTAAAATACAGAGAAGTAGACAAGATATTTATTGTAGGGTTATAAAATACTTCAGCATGTGGAGGCAGTATGACATAAAACCAATAACGATTATTAGGTGTAAACACTGGGGTGAAATATTACCAAGCATATCTCATGTAAGGAAAGTCATTTGGGTTTTCTTCCATTACACAATGTTTTCCTCTACTGTTTAGCTGATTCTAAAAGCAGCAAAATGTGTATTAATTCCTTTTGCTGATTTGTATCAACAATATTGCAAATTCAGCAATTAGTCTCAGGGGAATGCCTGGGTAGCAGCCCGTGAAAAACGATGATGCCATTTCTCGGCTTTGATTTCTAAAAATAGAATCCTGCTGATCTTGCCACACTGTGAACCTCCCAAATAAATAGGAACCTTTTCTCCACCAAAAGCCTCAGACAAACTTTGAGATTGAACTTGCTGCTGAGAGGTCAACTGACAACTCTAGCCATAATGAGATCCCACACTGCTCTTCTGCTGGTCTCTCTGCTGGTGATCTGTCACTCGGTTTATGCAGGTAGGTACTTTCATTTCTTGACGGGGCAGGAGGAGTTACAGTCACTCCTCTTGAAAGAGTAAGGTAATCATTAAAAATGGTTTTCTCTCATCAGATTTGCAGTGTGTGGTCCAGCAGACCAGGCACTGCTCTAGGAGTCTGGAGACCTGGGTTCTGTTCCCAGCTCTGACACCTATTGTGTGACCTTGGGCAAGTCACTTCACCTCCCTGTGCTTCTCTGCCTCAAAAACTTACAAGCCACATAAACAACAAGAGAGGGGGAAGAGACTGTCTGTTATGCGTATGTACAGCACCTAGTGCAATGGGAACCTGCTCTCCGTTGAGACCTCTAGGCACTAGTGTAACACTAATTAAAAGATGCACCTAAAGATGCAGAAAGGCACCTAGTGGATTTTTCAAAAGCACCAAATTCCCATTGAAATAAATATTATCATTAAATACTTTTAAAAATCTGGCCCTTACTCATGTTGCATAGTACGTTACTCCTCCAATTACTTCATTTGTTTTAATAAGGCTACAACAGATGCTAATCCTCTGTGCCTCAATTTCCCATGTGTAAAATAGGGATAATACCACCTACCTTACGGGAGTACTGCAAGGACTAATGCATTAGTCAGTACAGTGCATTGAGATCCTCCGATGGAAGGGGCTTTAGAAATACAAGGTATAATAATTATTTCCATTAGTTGTGGCTAAAACTACATTAATAACGTATAGACAGCAAGGATTTCTCTGTCTCACTAGCTAAGTGTAAGCTACCTACTCTATTGCTATCCCTGAATTATACCTAATTCGATGAATTTTTGCTTCATAGCTATCCTAGAAACCAACGGTTCCTATAAAAGCTGCAGATGCACAAAGCAGACTTCAGACTTTATAGCGCCAAGAAAATATGAAAGTATTGAGATCATTCCTCTTGGGGGTGCCTGCCGAACCACAGAAATTATGTAAGTGGCATAAATTACTTTTAACTTTTAACTAGCCTCGATGCACCAAGACTCTACTTTAGTTATGAAGAGGGCAGCAATTACACTTACAATTAGATACACTGATGCAGTATAGACCTTTACATTTCAGCTTCCATCTAACAACCTAGCTATATACTGGGTCGCTTTTTGTATTTATACGAACAATGTACAAAGAGTAGGTTTTAATGCCCAAAGTCACAGGATTGGCTTACCACTCAGGGGAAAATCAAGTATAAAGTCTTCTTGGCTTAACTACACCCTTGAACTTTTTTTTTTTCCAGCTGGGCGAACGGGTTCTGGCGTAGTAAGGACAGATTCAAATCAAACACGTGTTAAATACTGAAATTTTTTAATTTTGTTGTTTTTAACTTCATGTGCTTCTGCACTTCCTGTTCTTTGGCCCGGACTGGAAGTGGAAGAACCAAAATACCACAAGGAATTACACTTGTGCTATTCTCAGCCTATATGGATCCAGGAAGTACTGGAAATTTCCCCAAACAGCTTGAGGTCATTTGATTTCTAGCCCACTTCCAAGACCATAGAACTATGGGTACACTTTAGAGTGGAGATGAGAATGAGTGACTAGGATTTGGTTTGGAAAGAACTTCTTGATCAGGTGTTGTTATTAGTCTGACAAAACCGGGGAGCCAGGTTCCATTTTCTCTGAGACAAAGTTTGAGACTGAGGACTAGAGAAAGTATTTGTTTGGTCCCTTCTGTTTTCTAGAGAAACACCTACAGCTTTGTGTGCTGCTCCTGTGTGATCAAAGCATCCAACACTTTTAAAATGTGCTCCTAGCTAGTTATTTCAAAGGAGTGGGATTTATTTTATTTGTAGAAATACATGTGCTAGAACTTGCATCAGTCCAGTGATCTCCCTCCTTCAATCACACAAATGATCTTGATTGCCCAGTTATGTGTTATGTTTAAAAATCCCTACTTTTGGGCCCTGATAAGGCATGTGTGAATTTATACATGTGTAACTGCAAGTTGTCTCATTGACTTTGCAGAATCGGGGCTTTAAAAGAGGTGTCTACTGATCACATGTGCTACGAGTTAAATCTGAAATTTTGTTTTGCTTTGAATAATTGAAAACTTGTACTCGTCCTCGTGTGATGCAGAATTACTTCTATTTGCCCATTCCTCTACATTCTCAGTATTTTGAAGTCTGCTCCATAAGTTGTCTGTTTGAGGGATGGCTATTGCTGCTAATAATGATTTGAAGAAAGCACAGTATTTAATGAAAGCTTAAACTACACTTGTTTTTCAGACTCAAACTAAAAACAGGGCAGAAACTGTGTGTGCATCCCAAGGCCCCCTGGATGCAGAAATTTCTGACTAAGTTACATAACCAGTAAGTCTCATTTATATTATTTGCCTGTAATAGGACCCATTCCTACAACCATTACTCATGCATAGTCTGACATCAATGGTACTATGTGCATGAGTAAGAACTACTCAGGCAGTTAAAGTTTGCCGAACTGCCCCCTGAGTTGTAGCAGATCAGACTAAAGAGACCTGATCTTGAAGCCTAACTGTATGAAGCTGCCTCATTTAAGTTAATGCTTTGTTATAGAACAGTTTGAGTGCACAAGCTCTAGTTATGGTTATATTTGAATTTTTATTCTAACCCTCTGTTTTACCATGCTCATACCTCTCTGAAAAATGCTCCTTCCTGCCTGCAGTCCACTGCTTGGTCTCAGCCAGGAAAGAAATTATCCTGGAAAGTTTGAGCAAGATTCATCTGGTCATTTTTAAGTAATAGAACAGCAAAAATAATATCCCCACTTAAACTTCAAGAAACTGATTTGCCCAACTCTACAAATCAAGCTTCCTGGTTGGCTATTCTCTCTGGATATTTCCATGTCCCGATCAGTGTGATATCTGAGTGCTCAGGAACATCAAATTAATTTAACTTTACTACATCCTGTAAAGTAAGGAAGTACTAGTTTTGCAGCTGTAACCAGGTTAGAACATTGACTCATGAAAGCCCTTTATCTCATTGTGTGTGACCTCTGTCAAATTGCATAAGCAAGTATATAGTAGAACCAGGATTTGGAGTCCCAGATGAGTGCTCTAATCACAAAACCATCTGTCTACACTGAGGACTACACTCATTCTTTTATTATTAGAAAAATAAATTAAAATGGTAACTTTGGGGAAGTCAGAACAACCGCTTGTAAACTGCATATTAATTGGCTTTGCAACCAGTTAGGTTTTTAAGCTCAAAGCTAAGAGCTGTGAATTTTTCCTTTAAAAAAAATTGACTTATGAACTTTTTTCCAGTGGGAGCAGATTTAAGCCAATGCTGAAGGCTTTTGAAAACCCAACCCATAATGATCTAACATTTAACAGGGATATTTCCCTTTCTGATTTTTGAGTATTTACTTTTGGATCTTTAAAATGTTATGGCTTTTGTTCAATATAAAATCTAGAAGATGTACAACATGGTTAAGATAAAGGATACTGTGAGTATAATTCTCAGTTCCTGACTCTTGAGGATTAAAATACAAAGCATTACACCAGTAACGTAAACTCTCACATTTAATGACGAAAATTGTCAGGCAAAGTCTGCTGAAACAATGTTATCTAATCGATTGGGCCATTTTAGGACAAAGTTGATGGCTCGTGATAAAGCTGAACAAAGTCCAGTCAGGAAAGTGACGGTCTATTTTCAAATGAGAGATGTTACTCTTTTTTCCCTTAGCCCTTGTACAATTATCTAGCTCTAACTGCAGGCCTGTCCCATTTCTTGTTCATATCCAATCAATGGATAGCCATGGATGAAAAGCTCTGTGTGCACGATAATTATCACAATTACTTGGTTTGTGTTTTCACATAATTAAGACAGGTCCTAAATAAAGTTTGAGACCATCTTTATTCCCCCATCTGGAAAACAAGGCCCAGAGATTAAGCGATTTTTCACAAGGCCACGAAGTATAGCTGTAATAGCCCACCCATTTTCTCTGCATTTACTTTTCTTGTTTTCCCCTTACAGAAAGGAACAAACAGCTTCCTCACACAAAGAATAGAAGATTAAACAACTTTAGAAGGAAAAAAGGATGGAGGGCACAAACCTGATTGTTTCCTAATTTTGCTTTTGCTTCCTCTTACCTTTGTCTTGCTCAGCCCACAGAATTATTCTTTCTAAAGAAGCAGCAACTGTTGCTAGCAACTGCTTCCCTCTCGAGCTGGTTTTCCATTAGTCAGATTCCTTGTTCAGTGTTTCAGTGTGCTGCCTCATGCATCATGAGTCATGGAAGAGTAATATCAAATCAAACCAACTACAAGAATACCACTTCGGTTTCTTGAAATAAATGGACTAACGTTTACCAAGTATTATGGCATCTGCCATAAGAGTGTAGTGAGCCATTTTGTAATGATCATGCCTTTGATTCCTCAGTGTCCTTTTTCCGTGATACATCTTCAAAACTTCCCAAACATTAATCCCTACCTTGTTCTTTGCTTGCTAGTAAATTTTAAATATCTTAAAGGGCCCTTTCCACCATTGTTGGAATAAATGTGAAGCACTTTCAGTGCAAAGTATTTTTTGAACAGATTGTAATCTTTTAACTTTTTATCATGTACTCTTCGTGTGTGTGCTATGAAGCAAGTGCAATTCAATTAAAGCTCATGGTTTACAATAATTGCGTCATCCTTTTAATCTAGTTCTGATGAGTCGCTGGAGTTTTGGCAAAGTCCTCTGCAATTCGTACAGTGCCTTGCACAATGAGGTCCTGCTCCATGGCTGAGGGTGCTAGATGCTATTCTAGTACAAATAATAAATAACCACAGGGTGGTGAAAATGCGACTTTTAAAGTGAACTATGCACCTAAAGCAGCACATAGTGAAATTCCAGAGCCGATCAGGCCAGTAGCAAGAGTCTTGCCTCTCCAAAATAAATTGGTACCATATACATCATGTGTGGCTGACAGCGAGGATGCATGGATTCTTAATTGCACAGCTTGCTTGTTCTAAGCCAGGGGTGGGCAAACTACAGCCCTTGGGCGCCGACTTCCCCACTGCCTGGTGGCTGCTCGACCCCCCCCCCCCCGCTTCTTCCTGCACCTGCACCACCCTTACCCCACCCCCATTCACCCCTTCCCCCAAGTCCCCGCCCCTGCCCTGCCTCTTCTCCACCTCCTCTCCTGAGCGCGCTGCGTCCCTGCTCCTTCCTCTCCCTCCCAGAAAGTCCTAAGCACCGCCAAACAGCTGTTAGGCAGCAGGGGGCGGGAAGTGCTGGGGAGGAGGAGGAGGAGCAGGGACACTGCACTTATGGGGCCGGATCTGGCCCATCAGGGCTTTGGATCTGGCCCGTGGGATTGCCAGCCCCACACTGCCGGCGCTGTGGCCCCTGTGAAGAGGCAGAGGGCTCCATGCGCAGCCCTTACCCCACAGCTCCCATTGGCCAGGAATGGGGAACCGTGGCCATTGGGAGCTTCGGGGGAGGTACCCGGCCTCCCCCAGGGGCCTCAGGGACATAGTGCTGGCCACTTCTGGGAGCAGCACGGGGCCAGGGGAGGCAGGGAGTCTGCCTTAGCCTCGCTGTGTACCGCTACCACCCCGGAGCCGCTCCCGGTAAGCAGCGAGCCCCTGCTGCACCCCTTCCTGCACCCCAACCCCTTGCCCTGAGCCCCTTCCTGCACCTCGCACTCCCTCCCGCACCCCGGCCCTCCATTCATGGCCCTGCATACAATTTCCCCACCCAGATGTGGCCCTGCAGCCAAAAAGTTTGCCCACCCCTGTTCTAAGCTTCCTGTTATAGTTTGGATAAGACACAAGAGCCTGAAAAAGCTAATTTGCTGAAACTGACATACAAGCTTGTATTACACTAATCCAATTCTATGAGATGTTTCTTTCTTGACATGACTTTTCTGGGAAGCTACTGCTCTGTTAAAGGACTGAGGATACTGTACAAAAAGCCTTGTTTATCTTATTTACTTAAGCCTAATAATGGAAATGTAAAATGTCGGTATTTCACTGCTGATATTTTGGCAGAAACAGGCAATAGCTTAAGAGTTAATATTCACCTACCCTGGGACATTGATTAGCATTGGGGAAGGGACTGGGCCATATAGTATTTCCACCCATGATGCTAATCTGATCCATCTCTTAACTCCCATTCCACTTTCCGTTGTCTCTTCGTTAGTGAATTGATAGCATGAAGCAGTTTAGCCAATCCGTGCATTATAAAAGAGGGGCATCCTTTCCATTTGAGAACTGATGGATTAAAACTGAATCCCTGTATGGCTTTTCTATCAGTCAGACACTGCCACCCATTGGTCAGTTTTCACCTTATTAGGGAACCAGAACAAGGAAAGGTGCCAGCAGGTGACCCCCAGGGCTAGTGGCATCTGCCAGCTCAGCAGAACACAGGAACTGCAGACTGAAATCATAGGTGGAGTTTGCGGGGGCGGGCATAGGAGAGTGTTCCCTCCTCCCCCCCGCCCCTGCAAACTGCAAGCCTCAGGCAGGCAGCCTGAGCGTGCAATGTAATGAGTTCTGCAGAGGAGACTGGAGGCTGCTCCCAGCTTGCCCCTGAGACAGGGAGTCAGAATTTTGTTTATAAACAGAGTGATTAGCGTCGATTAAGATAAGAAAGGGCTGTTAGGATAAGCTTGGTGAACTCCAAAAAGTAAGTAGCCTAAAATAACAAAGTTACTAATAGCTTTCTTTGAGAAGATGACTGATTTTTAGGCAAAGGAAATGCAGTAGATCTCATCTACCTGGCTTCCAGTGAGGCAGCTGATACAGTTCCAAATGAGAAATTATTAGTTAAAGGGGAGAAGAGGGGATTAATATGAGAACTGAAAAGTGAATAAGGAATTAGTTAAAGGGGAGACTACAACCTGTCATACTGGAGGGAGGTTACTAGTGGAGTTCCTCAGGGATCAGTCTCGGGGGGCCAACCTTATTTACCATTTTTATTACTGACCTTGGCACAAAAAGCGTGAGTGCGCTAATAAAATTTGCAGATGCCACAAAGTTGGGAGGTATTGCCAATACCGAAGAGGGCCGGAATATAATACAAGAAGATCTGGATAACCTTGTAAACTGGAGTAATAGAAATGGGATGAGATTTAATAGTGCAAAGTGCAAGGTCATGCATTTAGGGACTAACAACAAGAAGTCTTGCTATAAGCTAAAAGAAAAGGAGTACTTGTGGCACCCTAGAGACTAACCAATAAATTGGTTAGTCTCTAGGGTGCCACAAGTACTCCTTTTCTTTTTGCAAATATAGACTAACACGGCTGCTACTCTGAAACTTGCTATAAGCTGGGAATTTATCAGTTGGAAGCGACAGGAGGAGGAGAAAGACCTGGGTGTATTGAGTGATCACAGGATGCCTATGAGCCGTCAATGTGATGCGCTTGTGAAAAAGGCTTATGCAGTCCTAGGAGGTATCAGGCGAGGTATTTCCAGTAGAGACAGGCAAGTGTAGTACCATTATACAAGGCACAAGTGAGACCTTGTCTGGAGTATTGTGTGCAATTCTGGACTCCCGTGTTTAAGAAAGATGAATTCAAACTGGAACATGTGCAGAGACGGGCTACTAGGTTCTCCATTCCTCAGATCATCCTATCTTCTGAGAAGAGACTCAAAGAATTGTTTAGTCTAACCAATAGAAGGCTGAGGAGAGAGAGATGATTGCTCTCTAAAAATACATCAGAGTGCTAAATACCAGGGAGGGAGAGGAGTTACTTAAATTAAGCATCAATGTAGGCCCCAGAACGAATATATATAAACTGGCCATCAACAAGTTTAGGCTTGAAATTAGATGAATGTTTCTAACCATTGGATGAGTGAAATTCTGGAACAGCCTACCAAGGGGAGCAGTGGGGGCAAAAAACCTAACTGGCTTCAAGACAGAGCTTGATAAGTTTATGGAGGGGCCGGTACAACAGAACTGCCTACAATGGTGTGTGGACCATCGGCAACTGCCTACAGCAAATATCTCAAATGGCTGGAGTTGGGACACTAGATAGGGAGTTACTACAGAGAATTCTTTCCTAGGTATCTGCCTGATGGGTCTTCCCGCATGCTCAGGGTCTAACTGATCTTTATATTTGGGTTCAGAAAGGAATTTTCCCCCAGATCAGATTGGCAGAGACCATGGGGGTTTTAAACTAGTGTAAATGGTGGATTCTCTGTAACTTGAAGTCTTTAACCCATGATTTGAGGACGTCAGTAACTCAGCCAGAGACTAGGGGTCAATTATAGGAGTGGGTGGAGGAGGTTCTGTGGCCTGCAAGGTGCAGGAGGTCAGACTAGATGATCACGCTGGTCCCTTCTGACTTCAGTAAGCATATCTGAGTAAGAATAGACATTACAATTTTAAACCTAACCAGTGTCCCATAAGTGACTTGCTACAAGATATCAGCACATGTTAGTATTAGAGCTGAGGGGTCTAATCTTTATTTAATTTTCTTTGTTGAGATAAGAATTCAATACCATCCTCCTGTCAGAGATTTGTAAGTTATCTGCAAAAATACTAGAGTTTGCAGTTGCCTAAGTAGCCCCCGGAATCACAGTGAAAGTTGTGCCCCTCCCCCACACCCCGAAATGTGAAATGGCCCCCTTGTGGGCAGGCATGGAATTGTTCCCCCACCCCAACACACACACACGGCCCCATAGGCCTGACTGGAGCAGCCCCACCTAGGGTGACCAGATGTCCCGATTTTATAGGGACAGTCCTGATATTCGGGGCTTTTTCTTATATAGGTGCCTGTTACCCCCCACCCCCATTTTTTGCACTTGTTATCTGGTCACCCTAGCCCCACCCCAAATATAAAAGTCAAACTACGCCTATGACTAAACTCCCCCTCAGACAAGCACCAGCGGGCACTTCATCTCTCCATTAGGGGAGGCAGAAAGATCGTTATGGAAGGGCAGGGGCAAACAGAAGCAGTCAGTGGCTCTGACTGGTATGCCAGAGTTACATGTTCCTGCCATAAAGAGCAGGGAAATTAATGATTACTGAAGTGCATCACAATAAAACTGCCATATGCCCACAGAAGTCTTGTGTGTGAATAAGGAGTCTTTCTCTGCACGTCACTCCTAATGGTGCGGCAGAGGGATGAAGTCCACAACACAAATTAGTTCCAAATTAGTTCCATAACATGGAGC